GTTCAGAGAGGGCAAGCAACTTGCCCAAGGTCACACAGCTAGGCAGTGGGCAGGACAGTGGCCAGCATGGGCTCCTGTGGCTCACAGTACAAGGTTCTCCCTAGAGGCAGTCCTGGCCGATGGCCTCACTGGGGAAACCAACACATTACCTTTAGGAATGTGACATACTCAGAGGAGCATTCTGGGTCCAGACTGGGTAGGATGCTGAGGATGACTTGAGGACCATGTGGGAAGAAATCCCACTGGAAACCCCCAGTTCAGTTCTGATGGGACCTTGGCTGGCTGTAGGAGAGGAGTGGGCAGGGGGCCTTGCACGGAATCAGCCCAATCCTCCACCTTGTCTCTGTGACCACCTCACTAGCCCCCACCTGGGGCTCCCAGAGCCTGGCAGCCTCTGCCAAGTTTCCAGGGAATGTGTCAGATAAGGGGCTGTGCTCATGACTCCCTCCTACCTAGCCACTATCTCTGACCTTACCACCACCGCCCAGGAGGAAGAATAGCGACAGCCCCAGTGAGTGGGCACACACGGGACAATACAGGCAGGCAGCGCTGGCCCTCAGACGAGGACAAGTCTCCAGGTCCCTCTCCCCATCAGTCCCAGCATCCCGCCCCATCCCCACCCTGGCTAGAAGCCCCACACCTCATGGCAAAGTGCCAAGTCTCAGCTCTGCCCCTGCTGCCTCAGCAGAGGGGATCCGGAGAGGAGCACATAGGCCAGAGCCTATGGTCTGAGAAGCTGTGTGACGGAGAGCTCAGTGCTGTCCCTCTCTGGGCTTGTGCACAGGCGAGGGGACACCCCCAAAGCATGGGAGACAGGCAGCCAGGCTACCCCTGGAGCCAACACCCCTTGCTGCTTTGCCCACTGCAGCCTAATGCAGCTCTCGAATGCCCCTGTGGACTCTGACCTTGTCATCCTTGTCAGTGGGATGTGGCGTGGGTGAGGGTATGGGCGTCCCTGGGAGATGACAACAGGACATGTTGTGGCTGAGTCCGCAAGTGAGTCTCTCTGTGACACTCTTGTGGGTTTGCTTCACTGTGTCGCTCGAGTGTGTGAGGGTGGCGCATCACCCTGAGGGAAGAGGCGTTGTCATGGAAGCCACAGTGAGCGTCACCGCCACACCGGAAGGGGGGGACATCTAGGGAGCCTTGTGTCTAAGTTCTGAGTCACCATGACACCTGAGGGTGGCCAAGGGTGCCAAGGCCCTATCCCCACGTCAGAGCCCCCTCAGATCTCCAAGCCTGACTCACACAGAGCACCTCAGACCAGCCCTGGGCCCATCCCCTTGCTTTCCTCATCTCCATCATTTTCTGGGGTGATGTCTCCTTGACATTCTCACCTCCTTCCTTTCCCTCCTGTGACGTCCCCAATAGAGTGGGGGATGAGGCATGGGATGCTGGAGAGAGAGGAAGGGAAGAGCAGCTGTGAGCTCCCGGCACCACACAGGTGACAAAGGCACCACACAGATCAGACGCTGACATTTGTTCACATACCACAACCACACACGTACACACACACATGCCACTGGTGGAATGACAGCTCTGCCAAGGGCCCCCAAAGGCCCTGTGGGGTCCCCGAGATCCTCCTCCCTGTGTTAGTCCTGTCAGGCAAGCCCCCCCAACTCCTGTAAGCCTTTGGGGGCTCCCCCGCCCTGAGCTCCTTCAGCAGGACATTTGGAGAGAGAGACGGGGAGGCCCAAGCTAGAGTACTGGACTGGGGACTGGGTGTAGCTGGGTGTGGGTGGGGGTCTCTGAGGTCCGGAGACTGTTTTATTCTTTGTAAGGGAGGGACCAGGCTGACCTCAGGGCCTCTCGCTTCAAACGGGCCTTAATCGCTGGGGCTGGAAAAAGTTTAAAAATATCCTCATGTTTACATTCCTCCCAAGCCCGCCTCCTGATCCTCAGTGCTGGATCCCTTTGATCTGGCCCCATGCCTCTGGAAGGGTCCTGGGAGAGGGGGAGCGTGAGCCCCCTACTGAGGCAGGCCCTGAGTCTCCCACCAGCTCCAGACCAGCAGGAATCCCGTGAGACCCCTCGACATCACAGAACTGGAGCGAGCCTTGGAGCTGGCTTGGAGCCAGGACTAGAGATGGGTGTCTGATCTGGGGTCACCCAGCGAGGCCATGGGGGTGCTGGGTGGGAGCCCCTCCCCACACTCCTTCCCCAAGCCTGGGCCTCACAGGAGCCCTAAGGAGTAGCTGAGTGTGGCCACCCACCGGTCCGCTGTGCTGAGTAGTCTTCTCCGCGCTTGGAGGACTAGGTTAGGGTAAAGTCATACTCATTGAGCTTCTGCTGTGTCCCTCGCCCTGCGCTGGGAATTATCTCACCTAGTTCAGCAACTCCACTTATTTTAGCTTATTTTTCCCACAACTGATCACAACTCCATTTTAGTGAGGCCGCTTTATCCGTAAGTAGAGAGGCTCTGAGAGGTGAAGTGATTGTGCGGTGACACACAGCAAGGATGAGACTGCTCATGGACCACACTGAGCCAGCCCCCAGCCCTCCCTGGGAGGATCTAGCCCCCTGCAGAGTCAGGGCAGCCCCCCCACCCCCACGAATCTTCTCAAACGCTGTCCACCACACTGCCAAGCCCAGAGACCAGGGTCAGCCTCCTATTTCTCTCCCCCCAGGGCCCAGGGCCCCTCTGACCCTCCCTTTCCTTTATGGAAAGGGGCTAAGGAGCACGAACAGCTTTATAGCCACCGATGCTCAAGGAAACAGCCTGTGTTCCTGGGGCTTGTGACTTTGTTGTCAGTCTCAGCAATGACACAGTCAGAGTGGTCTGGGCCTGAGGACCCGAGGAAGTGGATCTATCAAATACACTGCTGAGGAAGAGCCTCGAACTGGTGGCTGTACCCACCCTTTCCTCTGTTACCCTGGTGTCCTGTACCCACCCTTTCCTCTGTGAGCGGCCCCCTGCCAGCTCACCAACCCATCAACCCTGCCATCCCTCTCCCACCAATTTGCCCCTATCGTCCTCTCAGCCAGCCAGCCAGCCACCTCCCCATCCTTCTGCCCTGCCACCCACCCATCTATGCTGCCCAGAACAAGGACCCAGACAGCAGAGAGACCTGGGCTCCAGAACCGGGCTGCTCACGGGCTGCTCACTGGCTGCTCACTGGCTGGATGAATGTGGGGAACTCCTTCCCCCTCTTTGCAATTCACTTCCCCTCTTTACCAGAAGGAGCCTGCCTGGGTGATGGCTAAAGCCCTCCTGGAGGATCTCTCGAGCAGAAACCAGCTGAAGGCTGTGGACATTTCTGGAGCGGGAGACAGTTCCACCTGATCCCAAGACCCTCGGCTGTAGCCCTTGGCCTCCCTGACCTTTAAGATCCTTCACTGTAAAATTCTATTCTTGCAAGTTGACGGGAAGGTTAGGTGAGGTGCCGCCTGCTTCAGTGAGCTTTATAGCTCTTTGACCCTGAAGACTTCTGAGTGGGTGCAGACTGAGCAGAGGTTGCTGGGAAAGTGGCAGGAAGCTTGGACTGTGGTAGTTGAGGTGGGGGAGGGGGAGGGGTAAG